AGTTGACTGCATTGGCTTTTTGAACTCTAGCCTGTATCTCTTTATCGAGTCTTCCATCTTCTGTAAATATGCATCCTAAGTACTTGAATTCTTGAACTTGTTCTAATTGTATGTCATTGATCTTCATGCTTACATTACTGTGTTTCTTTCCTATGGTCATTACTTCAGTTTTTGAGGTGTTTATTTTCATGTCAAATTTTGTACAGTTAGTGAGCAATGAATCAACATATTGTTGTAGTTTTTGTTCTTCTTCTTGTAACAAACATTGGTCATCTGTAAAAAGAAGTTCATTTATAATATCTGTGTTTTGGTTTGACTCCTGTGCAATTTTATCCATATATGTGATGAAGAGTAGGGGTGATAGGACACATTCTTGTCGTACTCCTGATGTAATGGGGAACCAGTCTGTCATACCTTCCGTTGTTCTTACAGCGCTCTGGCTATTTTGATAGAGAGCCATTATGTTTCCCAATAATTGACCCGGTACACCATATTCTTCAAGAATGTTCCATAGTTTATTTCTGTTAACCCTGTCAAAAGCCTTCTCTTGATCAATGAATATAAGATTCTGGTGTTTTTTATATTCGATTGTCTGTTCACAAATTTGCCTAAGAGTAAATATTGCATCAGTGCAGCTCTTACCTTTTCTAAATCCAAACTGGTTTTTACTTAATTGAGGTTCTAATATCACTCTCGCTCTTCGTTCTAATATTTTTGCAAATATCTTTCCTACATGGCTTTGTAAAGAGATACCTCTGTATGTTTCACAATCTCGTTTATCACCTTTCTTCTTCCATATGGGAACTATAATTGCTCTCTGCCAGTCAACGGGAACTTTCATTTCCTCCCAGGCCATATTGAATATTCTTGTCAGCCATTTTACTGCTGTTGCCTTACATGCAAGTATTATGTCTCTTGTAATACCATTTTTAGTGTTACCATCCATTTTCGTCCTTATTAGGACGAAATTTTTTGTCATTTGAAGCCCTACCCTGGCTTTTGCCAGGGGCCGCAATATAGGCAGGCCATACATATGGCCGGATGTCTGAACGCGGTTTCTGGGACCTCTCCACGGCGATCCTCATCCGCATGGTGGCACTTTGTGTCGTCGGGTGTTTGTCGCTTGTGTGATGTCCTGGTGGGGTGGAAAGTCAGTCAGTCAGTCAATACCATTTGTTCCGGCCGCTTTGTTTCTTTTGCTTTGCTCTATTATCTTTTCAACTTCAGATTCTAATATATTAGGTTCTTGTTCTTGTCCAAATTTTATTTTATTAGACACTGGTTCTTGTGGTCCACTATTCAGTAATTCAGAAAAATATTCTTGCCATCTTCTTTTAACATCTTGGGATTTGGTGAGTGGTTTTTTTAGCCTTGCTGTTTATGATCTTTGATGGGTTAAATTTCTCTTCTCTCAGTCTCATAGCCTTGATGCTTCGGTAGAACTGACCTGGTGAATCAGTGCATAGCCTAGCTAATTGTTCTCCGTACTTTGCCCATGACCATATTTATGGCCGGGCTATATTGCGAGGCCGCAAGGAGGCAGCCCCTCCACCATGCAAAGGCACAACAGGCCAATCACCTGTTTGCCTTAAACCACGATTACAAGTAACTACAGAGAGAAAACCGGACGGATCTTAACGGCGACGAACTGGCATGGCTTACGGACTACGATTTATGGAACATGGAATATAAGAGGCATTAACGGAAAGGAAAACGAGTTAGTAGGGGAGATGAGGAAAGCAAAATTAGGAGTCTTGGCTCTGACTGAAACCAAGAAAAAGGGGCAAGGAATCACAGATCACGATGGAAGTATGCTGCTCTACAGTGGTGTCCCTATGACGGAGAGAGCCAAGGGAGGTGTTGGCTGTATTGTGGCCAGGAATCAAGTTAGTAACATCAAGGGATGGAAATTCATCTCAGAGCGAATAATGGTGTTAGATCTGAAAGAAGAAGATAAAATTGTCAATTTTGTCATTGTGTATGGGCCAAATGAAGATGAGCGAGTAGATGTTAAAGAAGAATTCTTTGAACTGCTCCAAAAGACCATAGATGACTGTCACGATGAAATTATCCTCCTAGGAGATCTAAATGCCAGAGTAGGAAATGATCACTCTAGATGGGGTGGAGTGATCGGGAGATATGGTGAAGATGTTTTGAATGATAATGGCAAGCGACTTCTCAGATTCTGCAGGGAACAGAACCTTGTCATTACAAACACAAAATTCCCCCACAAGCGTATACATGCATACACAAGATGTGAACCTTCAAAGAATGAAAAATCCATCATTGACTATGCCATAGTTAGGAAAAGTTCATTCAAGTTTGTGAGAGATGCCAGAGTCATGAGAGGACCAGAGATTGGAAGTGACCACTTTCTGGTCACAATAAAGAGAACAACTGAAAGAACTGCTCCAACAAGGCAACACCGACAATTATGCAAGAAACCAAGCAACCAAGAAGGGATGAGGATTAAAGCATACAAGCTAAGAGAGCCAGATATTAAGGCTAGATACCAGGAGCTTATAGTGAAAGCAATAGGAACTGAAGAAGAATCATCAGAGGACACTGAAACTCTCTGGTGCAGATTCAAGAATATCCTCACAGCAGCTGCAGTAGAAGCATGTGGTGAAGTCCCAAGTGGAAGGCGGGGACCCAGGACACCTTGGTGGACAGAAGAAGTCAAATTGAAAATAGGAGAAAAGAAAAGGGCATGGAAGCAATACCTGGCAGCCAGGAACACAGCTGAAGAAATAGAAAAATATAAACAATATGTGGCACTCAGAACAGAGACCAAAAATATTGTGCTTAAAGCAAAACAGAAATCATGGGAAGAGTTTGGAGAAAAGTTGGAAAAGAATGCAAGAGAAAACCAAAAACTGTTCTACAAGACCCTTAAGAACATGAGGAAGGAGAAAGAGTGCCCACTTAAATTCATAAAAGACAAGGAAGGGGCTCTGCTTACTTCTACAAATGATATCATGGGCAGATGGAAAGAATACTTCTCAGAGCTCCTCGGCGCTGAGGGAAGTCATGACCCAGAAATAATGGACCTCACTGCTGAGAAGGAATTCAATCATGGGGAAGATAACATCAGGATGGAAGAATTGAAGGCAGCTATTGAGAAGATTAAGCTGGGAAAAGCAGCAGGTCATGATGGTATAACACCAGAGATGGTCAAATATATGGGAGTCGAAGGTGAGCGCCTTCTACTGAAGGTTCTCCAGGCAGCCTGGTGTAGCAAAACTATACCAAAAGATTGGGAGATTGCCATCATTATACCTATATTTAAAAAAGGTGATAACAGACAATGTGAAAACCACAGAGGCATATCCCTCCTCAGCGTTCCCGGTAAAAGTTACTCTAGAATTTTTGAACAGAGACTTAGAAGTCTGGTAGAGCCACAGCTGGACGAGGCCCAGTGCGGCTTCAGAGCAAACCGAAGTACTCAAGACCTTATCTTCACACTGAGACAGATGAGTGAAAAAGCCCTGGAATATAAGAGTGAGATTCACTTATGTTTTTTGGATCTGGAAAAGGCATTTGACAAGGTACCCTGGAACAAGCTCTGGGACTGCTTGGCAGGGAAAAACATCCCAGCACCCCTGATCAGTGCAATACAGAGTTTCTACAAAAAGTGCAGAAATTATGTAAGAACAGCAGACCAAAAGTCAGAAGAATTTAAGACCACCAGCGGTGTTAGACAAGGTGATATTCTCTCACCTTACCTCTTCATTCTTATGATGGATGATGTCATCAAGACCTGTAAGGAGAAGACAAAGAAGTACTCTGTAGGGTACTGGAAGATGAGACCAATCTGTATATCAGAGCTGGCTTTTGCAGACGATGTGGCCCTGATAGCTAAATCAGAGGCACACCTTCAGTCCAACTTACTTGTCTGGAAGGAAGAGCTTGAAAAGAAAGGGATGACCATCAGTGTCTCCAAAACTAAAACCATGGTGATCTCAAGAGAGGAGAAGAAACACCAGATCATGATGGGTCAGTATGCGTTGGAGCAGGTTAACCAGTTCAAATACCTTGGAGTTGTATTAGACCAAAATGGAGGCATTAAGACTGAGCTGGCTACACGAAAAGCAGCTGCTGGGAGACTCTTCCAGGCCATAAACCGAGGGTTTCTTAGCAAAAGAGAAATTGGCAAGAGGACGAAAATGGCTGTTTACCGCTCTACCTATGTACCAGTCCTGACCTATGGGTGTGAGTCATGGGCAATGACAACAGCTCACAGAAGCCAGCTGCAGGCCTCGGAAATGAGATACCTGAGAAAGGTGGTCCAAGTGACAAGAAGGGACAAAGTCCGCAATCAGACAATACGTCAAGATCTTGATACCCAGCCCTTACTAACCCGTGGATCAGTCACAGTTACGATGGTTTAGACATGTGTGCAGAATGGGAGAAAATCGGCCACCATGGCAGGCATGGGAGGCTAAGAACCAGGGAACCAGACCTCCGGGACGACCCAGGGTGCGCTGGGAAGACAACATCCGACAGTCCCTGACTGACAGAGGACTGGAATGGAACAAAGCCAGAAAGAAAACTGCTGACAGAGACGTCTGGCGATCTCTCTGGCAAACCTCTACACCCCAAGGTAGAAGAGGAGCGACTAAGTAAGTAAGTAAGTAAGTAAGCTATATTGCGGCCCCTGGCCAAGAGCCAGAGTAGAGCTTCAAATAACGAAAAATTGCTTCGCACACAGGAATGATGACACTAATAACACATCAATCCACTGCAAAAAAAAAAAAAATGGGCAAGCTATATTAGCAAGAAAGGAAATACAACATTCTTCACTTCATATGAATCAATGTAACCAGGGTAATAAAGTTTCAAGAGATACAGACTGAGATAGGGAACTTTAAGTGGAACATTGACGGCCTTTTGTTGTGGCATGCAGGGGTGACAACACACTAACGGATACATGATGTTGAAGTGGGTTACTTCTCCTTATAAAGGGAACCTACTCACAAGACATATACCAAACGATAGCAATGGACGGCGTGAAGCTTGAAGAGATGGAGCCTTCAGTTGACAAGTTAATCCGTGATATACCCAGAGGAAAACCAAAGTCAGGGCGCATGTGGAAATCTGTAAAAACAGAAAGGTTAGTTAGAAAGTATTATTGTTCAGTAATTTTTGTTGATAGTTAACCACTCCAGTTTAGTTTAGCTGCATCAGACAGAGGACCAAGTTACCAACGGGAGGGGGGCTATTAGGCTATACTATGTAATTTTGAAATGTGATGAGATGTCGCAGGACACATTTTAATATATAGTATTATAATAGTAATTAAAACAGACCTCGTTAATTTAACTGTATATTATTGAGTAAAAGTAATGCTATACTGCTAGAAAAAATAATTGTGTTGGTAGACTACTTCACTACTAGTGTATTTATATATAGTTATAGTTATACTACTTATCCTACTAACACAATTTACTTACCATATTTTACCATAATTATTATGATAATATTATATATTTAGTTTAACATATATTGACATACTTTTGTTTGTATTACTACTCTACTAAGTAGTAAAGTAGTTAGCTGTTAAATGAGTATTAGTAAATAACAGTGTAACAACTAAGTTCACATCAGACCAGGTGAGACCACATGTTTAGATTTCGATAAATTATTAAAAAAGGAATGAAAATTTTATTTAAATATTTTAATAATCTGTCCGCTTATGGAAAACTTAATAAAATATATCCAAAATGAATCACAAGTCAAATGAACATGAGCCACTGAGACTTAGTAGTAATCTGTAATGAATGTGCAGAATCAATGGGTATGTTACATCTGTCACAAGAAATTATATAAATTATGATAAATGTAGCTGATATTTTTAGGAGAGTACTACAAATGGCCCAATTATATTTTATCTAAGGGTTTGTCCCAGGATAATATAAAAAAAAAAAGCAGACAGCAAGTCGGAGTCCTGTTGTGGGAACTAGAGGGTAGGTGAGACCTACTCTTACTGCAGTGTAAAATGTGGACACCTGGGAAATATCTAGTTAAAGACCAATCAAAAATTCATAAAGCCCCCTGTGTTTCACAGTAATGATAAAGAATTATTTTTGTAGAACCACCAAACATACTTATGTTTAAAATGATAAGAATGAAGGTAACATTTCAACATTTTGTTGATCAACTTCAACAATATATTTTATCAACCATATCAAAGCCTAAAAATGGAGCACTTTAGATTTAAAAATCCTACGCGACAGAGCATAACATTTGTTCCAGAGCAAGACACATTACAAATGCATTTTTATGGACAGCAATCTACTGTCATCTGCATACTCAGCAGGGTCAGGTTGGGATTTCTGCTTCTTTCCTGTACTGGAAAATGTACAAACAGCATAAACAAAACCAGATAAGGTACTGACATTGAAGAAATCAGCCAATGGGTTCTGTTCTTTTCATACAAATCACTTGTAGGTACTTGGGATGCAGTCAGTAATCTGAGCTGAGATTGTAGACTCCAGTAAATCCCTTGCAGAGTTAAGCTGGGCAGTGTTATTGCCAGCAGTGGCATCCAGAGTCTGCCTTTCTCTTGAAAATGACAGCCTGTCCTTACACCACATTAGCTTCTGGCAGGATGTAGGCTGTCATTGCTGCTACCAGCCCTGGGCTTCTCTTGGACGAGATTGGGTTCTCCATATCACCCTCACGTCCATACACAGTGCCATGTGGAGTGGACATGTGCTGTGTTATTGCCAGCCATTGGGTTCAGAGTCCAGAGTGCCTTTCTCTTGAATAGAACAGCCTGAAATCTCCAACCACACAAACACCTGCAGAGTGGGTACTGTCAGTCCCACCTCCAACCACACAAACTCCTGTAGAGTGGGTACTGTCAGTCCCACCTCCAACCACACAAACTCCTGTAGAGTGGGTACTGTCAGTCCCACCTCCAACCACACAAACTCCTGTAGAGTGGGTACTGTCAGTCCCACCTTCGGCTGGAGGGGGCCATCATCATGCCTGTAACAAATTAACGCAATATGGATAATATCCATTCTATGTCCCATGAATCATGGAGTTATATTTAACAAGCATATTTAGACCCTTACCACAAGATAGAACCACCCCAATTGGACAGATTATTCTGCTTATCTCCTACAAGATTGGAATCTACAAAGATATACCCTAATAAGATGTACAGAGTATCCACAGCGTGACAGAGATACTTATCTAGACCCTCAAAAAGAGTTCCCCTGCATCACCCCAATATCCGGAAAATGTGTGCTGTTCATCAGACTACATGCAGTAGAAATATATTTTCATACATACATCATATATTGCTATGTCAGCTAGTTCTTATGTCTGCACACTGATACTTCTCTCTTGCCATCATTCCTCACACATTAGACTATATTCTTCAGCAGAAAGCTAAGAACAATAAGGATTCCAAGCAACACTATCAGACTGAGCATAAGGGTGAATCCATTCCACATTTACACCCAACATGATTTCTCACACAGTATCAAGATGTTTTTTCTCATGTCCAAGGCACATGTATGGAATCAGACATGAATCTGAAACATAAGCACTAGGATTGTTCCCTAACATGAGGTATACAGTTTGCAGAAGAACATGAATCTCTTCTGCAAACATGAGTTATGAGTTAGATTATCTTCACAGCACTCCGGACACATCTATAGGCGCTCAGATTCCCCTCTCAACATATTCATCAGCGTCATGCGGTTAATAGTGCCAGTCCTATGTTGGTTAACAAGACTTTGTGTGCGTCTGGTGTGCTTCTCATGCGTGGCTGTGCCGATCTTTACTCCTAATTCGCATATTCTTAGCAGTGATGTGAACACGTTGAATAGCACTAGAGACCGCGGAAAACCTTGAGGCAATCCTAGGCTGGTGGTTATCGGTTCTGAGGACCAACAACCACACCTGAGTATCACCACCCGTCTCTGAAACAGTGCTGCGGCTACCCAGTGGGTGATGAAGGGAGACACTTGCAGTTGGAGAAGTATGTGCACTAAGCATTTAAATAGTACTCAATTGTACGCATCCTCTAAGTCTAGTGCAGCTGCACATGTCTCTTCTCTCACCTGAAAACCTTCATAGTCCTAAAAGGCGAAGACTGCTGTATTGAGCCATGTCTCTGTGTTTCGTCTGTATCCCCCAAGTGTGGATGGTAACCTGACTGGCTTTTCCAAGTCATCAGCGAGTCTACGTGCTACAATTTTCTCCAGAAGCTTGCCCTTAGTGTTCTTCATGGTAATGATTCTGTAGCCACTGATCTTGGAATGATCTTTATTTGGTTTTGGTAATGGTAGTAGGTAGCTGTGTAGCCACTCCTCTCTGATTTGACCATTTCTGATGCTGACATTGAACTCTCCTGCCAGTTCTGACATATCGTCCTCTGACATCTGCAGCAGATGTCCTCTCAGTTTTGGTCCACTGCCACATATTCAGTATATTCAAGGCTAACCTCTATATCTAGAGGCCTTTCCACCATCCGCCACTTGGACGAGCCTAGTAGTAGGGCAGGCTCTTAACCCATGGACAGATTATTTCTTAGGATCGAGTTGAAAACAAAACTGCCTGCATTACCACTGTAACCATAATGTAGGCAGGAAAGTCTTTGAGCTGGAGGAGTGCATAAATGTGAGTCACCACAGACTACAGGTTAGGCGCTGTTAGTGACCAACTGCTTCCAATGACAAACTGCATGTGCATATTTTTCCACTGTGTCACAATTCTTTTTTGGTTCACCATTTTTTTTTAAAGTGGGACAGTGAGTGACATTTTATTTGACTTTGATGGGAACGGAGGCAGTGTAGGGGTGACCCGTTGCAGTAGAGTTGAAACCTGGACTAGGAATAAGCAAGAGTTGGGGGAAGTCTATAAGTACACTCATCTCTCACACTGACAGAGGAGTTAAGGAATGTCTATAAGTACACTCATCTCTCACACTCACAGAGGAGTTGGGGAAAATCTATAAGTACACTTATCTCTGACACTCACAGAGGAGTTAAGAGGAAGTCTATAAGTACACTCATCTCTGACACTCACAGATGAGCTAGAAGTCTAAAAGTACACTCATCTCTGACACTCACAGAGGAGTTGGGGGAAGTCTATAAGTACACTCATCTCTGACACTCACAGATGAGCTAGAAGTCTAAAAGTACACTTATCTCTGACACTCACAGAGGAGTTGGGGGAAGTCTATAAGTACACTCATCTCTGACACTCACAGAGGAGTTGGGGGAAGTCTATAAGTACACTTATCTCTGACACTCACAGAGGAGTTAGGGGAAGTCTATGAGCACACTCATCTCTGACACTGATAGAGGAGTTGGGGAAAGTCTATAAGTACACTCATCTCTCACACTGACAGAGGAGTTGGGGAAAGTCTATAAGTACACTCATCTCTCACACTCACAGAGGAGTTGGGGAAAGTCTATAAGTACACTTATCTCTGACACTCACAGAGGAGTTAGGGGAAGTCTATAAGTACACTCATCTCTGACACTCACAGAGGAGTTGGGGGAAGTCTAAAAGTACACTTATCTCTGACACTCACAGAGGAGTTAGGGGAAGTCTATAAGTACACTTATCTCTGACACTCACAGGGGAGTTGGGGGAAGTCTATAAGTACACTTATCTCTGACACTCACAGAGGAGTTAGGGGAAGTCTAAAAGTACACTTATCTCTGACACTCACAGAGGAGTTAGGGGAAGTCTAAAAGTACACTTATCTCTGACACTCACAGAGGAGTTAGGGGAAGTCTATAAGTACACTTATCTCTGACACTCACAGAGGAGTTAGGGGAAGTCTATAAGTACACTTATCTCTGACACTCACAGAGGAGTTAGGGGAAGTCTATAAGTACACTTATCTCTGACACTCACAGAGGAGTTGGGGGAAGTCTATAAGTACACTTATCTCTCACACTCACAGAGGAGTTAGGGGAAGTCTAAAAGTACACTTATCTCTGACACTCACAGAGGAGTTGGGGGAAGTCTATAAGTACACTTATCTCTGACACACACAGAGGAGTTAGGGGAAGTCTAAAAGTACACTTATCTCTGACACTCACAGGGGAGTTGGGGGAAGTCTATAAGTACACTTATCTCTGACACTCACAGGGGAGTTGGGGGAAGTCTATAAGTACACTTATCTCTGACACTCACAGAGGAGTTAGGGGAAGTCTAAAAGTACACTTATCTCTGACACTCACAGGGGAGTTGGGGGAAGTCTAAAAGTACACTAATCTCTCACACTCACAGAGGAGTTAGGGGAAGTCTAAAAGTACACTTATCTCTGACACTCACAGAGGAGTTGGGGGAAGTCTATAAGTACACTTATCTCTGACACTCACAGAGGAGTTGGGGGAAGTCTAAAAGTACACTTATCTCTGACACTCACAGAGGAGTTGGGGAAAAGTCTATAAGTACACTTATCTCTGACACACACAGAGGAGCTAGAAGTCTAAAAGTACACTTATCTCTGACACTCACAGAGGAGTTGGGGGAAGTCTATAAGTACACTTATCTCTGACACTCACAGAGGAGTTGGGGGAAGTCTAAAAGTACACTTATCTCTGACACTCACAGAGGAGTTGGGGAAAGTCTATAAGTACACTTATCTCTGACACACACAGAGGAGCTAGAAGTCTAAAAGTACACTTATCTCTGACACTCACAGAGGAGTTGGGGGAAGTCTATAAGTACACTTATCTCTGACACTCACAGAGGAGTTGGGGGAAGTCTATAAGTACACTTATCTCTGACACTCACAGAGGAGTTAGGGGAAGTCTATAAGCACACTCATCTCTGACACTAACACAAATGTTTTCTTGTGTGTGCATGGAGAGAGGGAGTGAAACAATGAAACCTCAATGACAGTATGTTCAACATTAATATGAAACTTGATGACTGTTATCACAGCTTAGAAGAAGTATTCTGGATACCCTGCCAGTTCTACAGCACACTGCATGTTTATTCCAGGGTCAGTGTGTTGACCCCATGCCCCTTGTCATCTGGGTTTTTATCTGCTTGTGATGTTCTGAACCATAATGTTCGGTGTGGGGAAAGTGTGTCAGTTTATGTATAGTATATGATGTTGGTTATGAGACAGTTATGATTGATGTACAGATGTTTGCTCACAGCCACCTTAAATGTTCTTGTATTGACTTGTTTATCAAGGTATTCACAGTGCAAGCAGATTAAGCGGCTGAAGACAACTTGGGCTGAGAAAATGCAGCTGAAAACGGAAAAAAGAAAGATTAAAGAATTTCAAGAGCATCTTACTGAAGAGAAAGTTAAAAAGAAACAAGTATGTACAATTTTATAATATTCAAATAATGTAGATCTTGGCCGTCCACTGACACAACAATGACCAAACCAACAGTTAGAAAGTTACTATCACATGTGAAATGCTCCAGTCCTCATTGGTAGTCCTGAGCCAAGTTCCCTACACTCAAGACAACTATGAGTAAACAAGTCTAGTATTGTATGCCTCTCCTAATAAGGATTGCCACAGTCACAGATATTCAAGAACTAGCCTAGATTTGGCTCATGAATAAATGTCCTTAACTGGTCTTCTCAAAGAGTAGGATATATGTTCTCACCTATCTAGTGAGAATTTCATAGTTAAATATTTCATCCCATGACCCTTCTAATTGTATTGTTTATAGTCACCCCATGACCCTTCTCATTGTATTGTTTATTGTCACCTCATGACATTTCTAATTGTATTATTTATGGTCACCCCTATGACCCTTCTCATGGAATTGTTTATTGTCACCCCTATGACCCTTCTCATTGTATTGTTTATTGTCACCTCATGACACTTCTAATTGTATTATTTATTGTCACCCCATGACCCTTCTCATTGTATTGTTTATAGTCACCCTATGACCCTTCTCATTGTATTATTTATTGTCACCCCTATGACCCTTCTCATTGTATTGTTTATTGTCACCCCCTATGACCCTTCTCATTGAATTGTTTATGGTCACCCCTATGACCCTTCTCATGGAATTGTTTATTGTCACCCCATGACCCTTCTCATTGTATTGTTTATTGTCACCTCATGACCCTTCTAATTGTATTATTTATGGTCACCCCTATGACCCTTCTCATTGAATTGTTTATTGTCACCCCATGACCCTTCTCATTGTATTGTTTATTGTCACCCCATGACCCTTCTCATTGAATTGTTTATTGTCACCCCATGACCCTTCTCATTGAATTGTTTATTGTCACCCCATGACCCTTCTCATTGTATTGTTTATTGTCACCCCATGACCCTTCTCATTGTATTGTTTATTGTCACCCCATGACCCTTCTCATTGTATTGTTTATTGTCACCCCATGACCCTTCTCATTGTATTGTTTTTTGCAAACTCCCACCAGGTGCCTGTTAGGAGAATTCTGAATACTCAAACTGAACATACCACACAGCTAGTTAGTTAGTTAGTTAGTTAGTTGGGTTATCCTCATTGCACTCCGGACATGTCCATAGGTGCTCAGATCCTCCCCTCAGTATGAACCCCAATGTCCGATGGCTAATAGTACCAGTTCTATGTTGATTAACAAGTCTTCTGGCGTAGCTGGTGTGCGTACCACACAGCTAGACATGTTAATAGAACAATGTGTTGTTTAGACTATACTATTTATTCTTCTCACATCTGAAGAAAAGAACAGTATTTACTATACTCATGAGATGTACCACTGGGGAATTTGTTTCTTAACTTCCAAACCTTTATTAACCTTTTTAGTTTTTTTCATTTACTCCTGAACCTTTACCTGCCAGTTTTCTAAGTAGTCATTGTCTCGTGGCTTTCCCTTCTACATATTCTATATGTTTGCTCCATGTGAGCCTTTTATCAAATGTCATCCCAAGATAAGTGGGGAAGCTTTGTTTCTGGGGTAAGAAGAGAAAAGTGTTGTGGATGTTTTGTCTGTGTTGATAGCAACATGCCACTTTTCTGTCCATGTCATTAAGAGATCTGTTGCTCGCTGCATTCTTAGATTTGTGACTGGTGTTTTCATCAGTACATCAGAGTGCCAAATCATCTTTGTACAGGGCAAATTTCATTTCTATAGGGAGGTCTTTTATCAGGTCATTGATATAAACAAGAAAGATGCAGAGATGACTCCTTCCTGTGGTACTTATTCATGAAGCAACACTTTTCTTCTCAGCAGGCCATCAAGAGTTTCCCTGTTGTGTAAGGAGAATTGGATCTGTCTTAGCATGTTTCCTTGGATTCCTTGCCTTGAGGGATTCACGTGTAGATCATTGTTCAAGTCAAAAGAAGCAGTTTTAACCACCAGGCCCAAAGACTCTGCAGGCAAACCAATGATCTGCCTGCAAACCAATGATCTGCCTGCAACTGATAGTCCCTTATATGCTATTTCAGATCAGACCCTTGGAAAAAGGATTATAAGTTGCCCATACACACCCAGACAGAGGTGAAAGGAGTATTCGACAAGGAAGAACAAAACAGTGTGCAGTGTAAAACATCCACCCTTGCTCTACTTAAAGACGAATACCCACATCATCTTTGGGTTCGTGTCTTTACGGATGGGTCAGCACAAAACACAAGCAGCAGTGGAAGAGAAGGAGTGTATTTTGAGCATCCAAATAATACCATATATACAGCCAAAATACCTACAGGAAAGTACTGTCACAGTTATGATGCAGAAGTTCAAGCCTTCAAAATAGCAGCAGAGAAACTGTTAAATATACGTCATATTTCACAACCCGTGGTATTTCTGACATATGCAAGTGTGGTGCTTCAGGCACTCCAATCTGGAAACCTACCTGAAATAGAAACCCTACTCTTTAAACTAGGCAATTGTTGTAAGGAAACTATGCAGTGGATACCATCTCACTGTGAAGTTTCCGGAAATGAAAGAGCTGATAAACTAGCTAAGGAAGGTGCTAATAAAGAACAACCTGACGTACCAGTCTGTTATCAGCATAAAAAGAGAATATTCAAATAAATCAGAAAGTCACCAAAACCCCTCACAAGATGATTACCATTTTATGGACAGACCAGAACAAGTTTTTATTCTACGCCTTAGAACAGGACACGATCAACTTTGCAGCCACATGTACACAAAATTTAAAATCGGTGAAGAAACAGCTATTTGCACATGGGGATTGACACCTGAGACAACATTGCAGATCCCAAATACAACATATCAAGGCAAAACTTTTGGCCAAAAGAAACATCAGTGGAAGTCAAACTTTATGCCTCGCTGAGTGAATTACAAAAGGCAGTAAAGTTCACACTATAGACAACACTGCAGATATAGATAATTTATTTCAAGCGAACGAAAGAAGAGAGAATTTTCAACACTAATTTTTTGGTTGCTGTAGGCACCTTTGCGTGTGTCCAGCCGATATTTTTTTATTGTGCTGTCAGGAGACATGGAAATGACAGCCCATGGCCAGGGTGGCTAGCTAGACCCACTGACATGACAGCCCATGGAGATGGCCAGGGTGGCTAGCTAGACCCACTGACATGACAGCTCATGGAGATGGCCAGGTTGGCTAGCTAGACCCACTGACATGACAGCCCATGGCCAGGGTGGCTAGCTAGACCCACTGACATGACAGCCCATGGCCAGGGTGGCTAGCTTGACCCACTGGCATGACAGCCCATGGAGATGGCCAGGGTGGCTAGCTAGACCCACTGACATGACAGCCCATGGCGATGGCCAGGGTGGCTAGCTAGACCCACTGACATGACAGCCCATGGCGATGGCCAGGGTGGCTAGCTAGACCCACTGACATGACAGCCCATGGCCAGGGTGGCTAGCTAGACCCACTGACATGACAGCCCATGGAGATGGCCAGGGTGGCTAGCTTGACCCACTGGCATGACAGCCCATGGAGATGGCCAGGGTGGCTAGCTAGACCCACTGACATGACAGGTGGCTAGCTAGACCCTCTGACATGACAGCCCATGGCGATGGCCAGGGTGGCTAGCTAGACCCACTGACATGACAGCCCATGGCGATGGCCAGGGTGGCTAGCTAGACCCACTGACATGACAGCCCATGGAGATGGCCAGGGTGGCTAGCTTGACCCACTGACATGACAGCCCATGGCCAGGGTGGCTAGCTAGACCCACTGACATGAACAAAAGTCTTCCACAGTTCGAGCATACACATGTTAGCTGATAGACTGAAATGGTTGGGACATATTGAAAGAATGTCAGATGACTGAGAAGAGATGAATGGTCATAGACCACGATAGAAAGATAATATCCATTCAGATCTGCAAACACTTGGTGTCACCAACTGGAAAGAGAAGGCCAATCAAAGAGATAAATGGAGGCTGTGATATCTGCAGCACTGAACCTCAAGGGCTCTGAATGCTGAAGAAGAAGACACCTTAGCACAGAAGTAGGAAATTCTGCAACAACCATGAAATCCTGATTTGTTACCATACAGTGTTTCATTTGATGAGGCCTCCAAAATGCTCTCAAAGGGCAACGGTTTCACACAGATGCAGATGGAATCAATATGGTTTACAATCAAACGGGTTTCAGATGAACACTTCTGATATATTTGTATGCCTTGATTTTACTTTTATTTATAATAATTTAATTTTTTAAATGCATATGTATTTATCTTTTCATTACAATCTTTTATTTTCAGGACAGTATTTCAGTGATATTTCCTTAGGTTGATAGCCCATTTGATTAAACAGTTTAACATTGTGTGATCATTTTTCAGTTGAACAGGATGCGGGCAGAGGCAAACAAAAAGCGGAAACTCTTAAATGAAAGAAAGTCAGAAATAACACAGCCGGTAAGATATTTGTCTCTAAATTTTCCTTAATTTTTTGAAACTCATATACTAGTTGATCTACATGAACATTCTCGTCAGTTAGGCTAAAATATAAGTCAAGGTCTATATGTCCAGTGCGTCTCAAAGTATGGACAAGGATCCTTTTAAAACTGACAAAGCTAAATTAAATCAGAATAAGTTGGGAGGGGTGTGTGAAAGTGACTGCATTGAAATTAAGCTGTGCTAACATGGTTACTGACTGCATTGAAATCAAGCTGCGCTAACTTGGTTGCTGACTGCATTGAAATCAAGCTGCGCTAACTTGGTTGCTGACTGCAGTGAAATCAAGCTGCGCTAACTTAGTTGCTGACTGCATTAAAAGCAAGCTGTGCTAACTTAGTTGCTGACTGCATTGAAAGCAAGCTGCGCTAACATGGTTGCTGACTGCATTGAAATTAAGCTGTGCTAACATGGTTGCTGACTGCATTAAAAGCAAGCTGCGCTAACATGGTTGCTGACTGCATTGAAATTAAGCTGTGCTAACATGGTTGCTGACTGCATTAAAAGCAAGCTGTGCTAACTTGGTTGCTGACTACATTGAAATCAAGCTGCGCTAACTTAGTTGCTGACTGCAGTGAAATCAAGCTGCGCTAACTTAGTTGCTGACTGCATTGAAAGCAAGCTGGCCAAACCCTCTGAGAGATGTTAGACATGACCAAACCCCCTGAGAGATGTTAGACATGTCCAAATCCTCTGAGAGATGTTAGACATGTCCAAACCCCCTGAGAGATGTTAGACATGACCAAACCCCCTGAGAGATGTTAGACATGACCAAACCCCCTGAGAGATGTTAGACATGACCAAACTCCCTGAGAGATGTTAGACATGTCCAAACCCCCTGAGAGATGTTAGACATGACCAAACCCCCTGAGAGATGTTAGACATGTCCAAACCCCTTGAGAGATGTTAGACATGACCAAACCCCCTGAGAGATGTTAGACATGTCCAAACCGCCCTGAGAGATGTTAGACATGTCCAAACCCCCTGAGAGATGTTAGACATGACCAAACCCCCTGAGAGATGTTAGACATGACCAAACCCCCTGAGAGATGTTAGACATGTCCAAACCGCCCTGAGAGATGTTAGACATGTCCAAACCCCCTGAGAGATGTTAGACATGACCAAACCCCCTGAGAGATGTTAGACATGACCAAACCCCCTGAGAGATGTTAGACATGACCAAACCCCCTGAGAGATGTTAGACCATGTTTTCATTTTTTTCTTCTTAGATCAAGAGCACAAAAGTCAAGAAGCTGAAAAAGAAACAGCTGCGGATGATTGAAACAAGATAGTTTTGCTGCAGATGATTGATTGAAACAAGATAGTTTTTTTTCTGTGCCTAAATGAATTTGTGTTTTATTTAGTAAAATATGATGAGGTCTGTCAGTTAAGTGTTCATTTATTTAGTTATGCTGTGTGACTGGCTGCTTCATCTTTGAGTGCCACTCCTGCCACATAATGAACCCAGTATAGCATGCTGGCTGCTTTCTCTTCTCTATAACCCTGTTCCCCCCAGTGGTGCAGACACTTGACCACCTGACACTAGAGTGCCCCAACCCATGCAGCCCACCCCTTGTTCCCCCCAGTGGTGCAGACACTTGACCACCTGACACTAGAGTGCCCCAACCCATGCAGCCCGCCCCTTGTTCCCCCCAGTGGTGCAGACACTTGACCACCTGACACTAGAGTGCCCCAACCCATGCAGCCCGCCCCTTGTTCCCCCCAGTGGTGCAGACACTTGACCACCTGACACTAGAGTGCCCCAACCCATGCAGCCGGCCCCTTGTTCCCCCCAGTGGTGCAGACACTTGACCACCTGACACTAGAGTGCCCCAACCCATGCAGCCGGCCCCTTGTTCCCCCCAGTGGTGCAGACACTTGACCACCTGACACTAGAGTGCCCCAACCCATGCAGCTCGCCCCTTGTTCCCCCCAGTGGTGCAGACACTTGACCACCTGACACTAGATTGCCCCAACCCATGCAGCTCGCCCCTTGTTCCCCCCAGTGGTGCAGACACTTGACCACCTGACACTAGATTGCCCCAACCCATGCAGCTCGCCCCTTGTTCCCCCCAGTGGTGCAGACACTTGACCACCTGACACTAGAGTGCCCCAACCCATGCAGCCGGCCCCTTGTTCCCCCCAGTGGTGCATAGACACTTGACCACCTGACACTAGAGTGCCCCAACCCATGCAGCCCGCCCCTTGTTCCCCCCAGTGGTGCAGACACTTGACCACCTGACACTAGATTGCCCCAACCCATGCAGCTCGCCCCTTGTTCCCCCCAGTGGTGCATAGACACTTGACCACCTGACACTAGATTGCCCCAACCCATGCAGCCGGCCCTTTGTTCCTTTCCATCTTTTTAACTTCACTCCCTAGTTCCCTTCCTTATGTTTGTTTTATTGTCCGCCCTTGTATCCATGCACAAACTTTCTAGTTCATGTTGAGGTTTTGTTTTATTGTCCGCCCTTGTATCCATGCACAAACTTTCTAGTTCATGTTTAGGTTTTGTTTTATTGTCCGCCCTTGTATCCATGCACAAACTTTCTAGTTCATGTTGAGGTTTTCTGGTGTTCTATCCAACACCAGCACCTTTTTTCTTCACCTCTCAACTCATGAGAATTTCTTTAGTTTTCTACCAAAGCTCCACATTACTGACTCTATCACACCATTGGATTGTCTCTATTCTGGGCAGGCACCAGTTTAGTGCCTTCTTTGTAGTTTATTGTTTTAGTTGTAGCAGGCCGAAGGGCTAAAACGCTGGGCTCTCAAGCGGGACATCTGGGTTAGAACACTGGGCTCTTAAGTTGGACATCTGGGTTAGAACACTGGGTTCTCTAGTGGGACATCTGGGTTAGAACACTGGGTTCTCTAGTGGGACATCTGGGTTAGAACACTGGGCTCTTAAGTGGGAGATCTAGGCTAGAACACTGGGCTCTCAAGTGGGAGATCTGGGTTAGAACACTCCTAATGTGCTGACTGTTGGTAAACCTGGGTCTCAGAGCTTGACAAGCTCAGCATCGTGGTGTTAAATAGTCACTGCTGGCTTTCTCCGCTCCCTGACCATGTATCCTTTCTTCATTGAGACTTTGATTTTAGCATACATTGTAGAACATAGAATATTTTATTTCTGTATTGTAGTTCACCTCTCTTAATATGTTGGAGCTGTTAAAGTTTGCTGCCAAGTATCTACAGTCAAGACTGTTATGTGTGACCAAAGACACACAAAACACAACGGATCTATAGGATTTAAAAAAACGTAAGCCTACGGTGGACCTACTTGCCTATGGGCTGAATGACTGTGGGTTATACAGTCATGAGTGTGGAACACCTGGTTAGTGGGTGGGGTGGCGCCAGGCGTATGGAGTCTGTCAGGACATTCCCTACCTTTTCCCTAGCAGGCAGGCAATACTAGGGTGGAATCAAAGTACACTAGACGTTCAAGGCATACAGATAGATAATGGGGTAACAACGTGGAATTTATTAAGTGTTTACGCTGCTCTTGAATACCTTGTCACAAAGGAACATTAGGACTGGCTCAAAGAGTTGGAGGAAATCCCTGGTAATAGGCTTCTCATCTGTGGGGATTTCAATGCGTGGAACAGAGAATGGGACAGTAGTGGGGAAAATAGGCGAGGAAATTCATTAGCGAAGGCTATGCTAGATGCAGAGGTAGTCTGTATAAATGACGGTAGGGCAACTAGAATGACAATGAGACCTGGAGATGCAGACACGGCCATTGATTTGACGTTAGTTACCCAGTCAGCAGTGCTGGACACAAAGTGAAGTGTCCTAGGCGATCATGGGAGTGACCATATGCCATGCTCAGTCTTGATTTCTAAAGCTAGCAAGATCAGGGCTGTGAGAACGTGCAAGACGTGCAAGTATGAGAGGGGCAGTACCCTTCTTGGACGCCTTTGACAGAAAGTATGCAGCAGAACCACCACCTCTGCTTTTGTGCAGCCTCCATTGTGGACCCACGAAGTAGAACAGGCATGGAGAGTTCACAGTGGATTCCTCCTGCTGGTAAATCTAAGGTGCTTGATCTATACATCAGCCACACGCTCCATACTATCCAACAGTTGGAACAAAGGCCTTTACCTAAATCCAACCTCTCCAAAGGTGAATGGCGGGCACTCTCCTCCCTCAGAAAGAGGAACGATATTGTTATAAAATCAGCTGACAAAGGGGGCACTGTAGTGGTTTGGAGGAAGGATCTTTATATTGAGGAAGCCAGTACCCAACTCGGAAACCCCGTTTTCTATTCCGCCAGAAGGGACGACCCCACAGTCTCCAACAATAAGAAAGTCAAGGACACGTTACAATCATTTATTTCACAGGGTACTCTTCCTAAGCAGGCCAACAATATGCTTGTTTTTGACAGCCAACTTGGCAAACCGTGTATGTACTTGCCGCCTAAGATCCATAAGCCCAACAACCCTGGACGTCCCATTGTATCTGCGTGCTCTTGTCCCACGGTGTATCTTTCTGAATTTTTAGATAGTATTTTCCAACCGATTGTCACCAGTCTCCTTTCATTTGTCAAGGACACCAACCATGCCGTCAACATTTTCGGATCCATCAGGCTACTTCCCGGTAAAACCTATCATGTTTTCCTGATAGACGTATGCTCCCTCTATACGTCTATCCCTCACTCTGGATGTTAATCATATGCTAGGCTCTCCTGTACCAAATGTCTAGCATGAACTTTTGCTAAGAAACTCCAAGCACTTCTTTTGCACTTCACCCAACACTTGTTATACACACAGACTAGTAGATTACTTCACCCAGCACCTTTTTATGGTTTTCTCACATAAAAATGAGTCACACCATGGAAGAGACTGGAGTCTTCCCGAGTAATACTCCTAAAGACAGAACTGGCTGCACTGAAGCCAGCCCCCAGACAGCACAGATTTTATTCAAACATCCACTTACTCTGGACAATGCCTAATTTATTAACAAGAAAAAAGAAAGAACACTGACAAAATTATTCAATGAGCTGTTATGTAATTATCTTTTTATTGGCAGCAAATAAAATTCATGAGTACAATTCAAGTAATGTAATTCCAATAAGTTTCACAACTGCATCCCTGCGGTTGTCCCCATCAAGCACACACAATTAACACTGTCCGGTCACCAATCACACGTGTTGGGAAACAAGGATGTGGAAGGTGAGCAACTATATCTCTTCACTAAATATGCTGCTCAGAAACACATATATCCCTTCACTAGGGCTCAGAAAGATCCATGGTATATTACAGATGAATAATGTGGCTACTGGGATAGGTAAGTGACAGGAGCACATAATGCAACATTTGTTATTCGACTATCCATCTATATCAATATAAAATACATGGTAGCCTTCAATTGTAATCAAACTGTTTAAGGCAGTTCAATGTGTACTTTACAGAAGCAAGAAGCACTAGTCTCACTTGTTAAACAATAATGAGATAAAAGAAATGGTCTCCCATTTTTTGTTTAAATGTTTCAATATATTTTGTCAGGTGATTGCCTGCATCTTATGTTTGATATTTAGATTTTGCATGTTTCCAATAAATCTACAACCTCATACATTTCAACAGAGATCTGTGATAACTATTTCAAAGGCAGGCATTCAAAATGTGTTTATCTTGTGTGCCTTGTCCACTGTCATACAGAGTGAACAGAACATGTTCAGTTTCATAGTAACTTCTCAGCCAGGCAGTACTGATGGAAAAATTGGTTTTAAGTTAGGTAGATAGTTTGCAGATTATTCACAGGCATGGATAGGTGCAACAACTGGAAGCACATGTCACTGTATTTATGCACATTGTATTTTTGTATTCAGGTAACAAAAACGGAGGTTCTCATTGATCTTGCTGTTCACCTTGATCTTGCCTGTGTCGAAATCCTCTGTTAAATCCATTATTGTCTTCTGGCAGAGGATTGTAGTCATCTTGATCGGCAGGAGGATCTAATAAATATTTTCTGAAGAAACAAAATTGTAAATACTGTACATAATCCTGTGAAGTTCTTAGATACAGACAAGGTAGAGTTAGGAAACAAACAGAGGGAACAAACATAGGGAAAAAACATAGGGAACAAACATCTTTAGAGCTAGAGTAGACAAAGTTACTGGGTGAGTGGTGTTATAAATCCAGAACAGGTCACATATGGACAATAGTTTTGTTAGGGCTGACTTCCCAAGCCTCACAATTCATGGCAGCAACATCAACAAGACATGCAGACTGGGGTCCTCTAAAGAAGTAGTTGCAAGAATATGAATTAAGGGGCTCAGCTGACACAAGATTGTAGCAGAAATATATCAGCACACAACCAAGCCAGTGACATTATGAACTTGAAGTGCTCATTGTCTCAAAGAGCCAGCTAGTGAGTTTAGACTACATGTGGAATGAAGATGAAAGAGATATCTTAGTAGTGTGTATGAGATACATCCTTGTGTTGCAGACTATTGAAGACAGGTTAAAGATGCACAAGATATTTCTTTCTTAGTAATGTGTATGAGATACATCCTTGTGTTGCAGACTATTGAAGACAGGTTAAAGATGCTGTACTGCCAGCACGGTCACATTTCAGAACAACTGCAGAGAAAAAAAAAACATTTGCTGCAGAAAACCCAGAATGTAACTTAGGCTGACAAGCTGTGAAGTCTTCAATGGCTCAAGCAGAAGACAGACAAACAAGTGTCCATGCTTGAGACTTTCAGTTTATGAAGGAGAGGACAGAGTGAAAATACAGGAGCAGAAAGTAGACTTGTAGAAGGTAATAATCATATTGGGCCAGAAGTGCATGGAGTTGCCCCTAGGTGCTGCAAAGGTGGAAACTGAACAATTGATTCATGACAATTCTAACCTGGGAACAAAACAGTGATGTAAATGCAAGCGAACCTAGAATCTATTCAACACTCAATGCTTAAGAGAAATGGCAAGATGAATTGATATTTAAGCTACAACTTACATAATTAGTACTGGAACTCTGCACTTGCTGCTGAAGATGGGAAAGGAGTATTTATGGAAATGCCCAGAGTGCTATGAAGTTGGCACTTAACTATGAGCCTTCATACTTTTCCTAATTAACATCAAATAGCAGATTACCCTTCTTCCTCATATGCACGTAGACCTCCATATATCCGTCCTTTCTCCCAGCAAACTACCACAAGATAACTCTGTCCCTAACATGAGTCATTTGTAAAAACTGTTTGACAAGACAAAATAAACACAAGTCAATCACAAGTCACAGTAGTCAACACTTTTACCATGACTTGTATTTGATGTACTGAAGAAGTCAACTTGTATGACAAGACAGTCATAGTCATTCCCACCTTCTGCTATCAGTGACAGACATGGCCAGTCACAACAAACCAGACAAGAACATTAGTAACCACAGAAATCAGATGTTTGAGAAGGGCTGCAGCAGTGACCAGAAGAGATGAAAATCAGGAATGAGGTCATAAAAGAGAAACAAATCAAATGGTTTGCCTGCTTAGAATGCTTTGTGATGCCATAATACACAAGGCATACACTAAAAGGAGATGGACAAAGAGCACAAGGTGGACCAAGAACAAGATCGAAAAATAACAACTGAAAAACTCTACAGTGGCATGATGTGCTTCTGGTCAAGACAGAAAGAAGCAGAACATTGTATCTCCCTTGACACATGAAGTGGTAAAACAGAAAGTGAAGAAGAAGAAGATGCCGACGAATGATACAAAACTAACACCTAACAGCAATGCCATCTGTTAATAATATAAACGGTCTGAGAACTAAAAAATAAATAGACAACAACAATGGTACAGTGTACTGTAATAATGTATCTTTTTTAAACAAAATATTTTGAGACAATGCTTATATGACTAGTGCTAACTTAACTAGCTGTGGTGTGAGGTTACTTACAAGAATGCTGGTGTTCTTAAAACTTTAAATCCTCCTTGTTGTTGTGGAAACACATCTTCCAAGAAAAAATACACATGCCCTATTGCAATACCTGCAGAAGTTAGAGAAATATTATTTATTTGAAAGAAAATGTGTAATCATTGTAACTGAAAGTAAGGACTATATCATCACAGTGCACATATATGCTCTGATCTTCCTCATCCATAGCTCTACGAGCATAAAATAACTGGTCATGCCATCTCTGTTGATTAATCACAAAAGCTGAGTCTTCTGTGAAATATTAATGTCTAGTCCTTCCAGGTTTCATCTCCATACCCACAGAATTTGATGGGGATATGGAGTCACGTCTGCGCTGTAACTCTTGTTATGATTTGCATTGTTGAGATTGCTCCTATCCAGTGCCAGAGTAACTGCAGCACCCACCAGATAATCTGCAATCTCACTACCTCAAACAGCCACACGACCAGGCATCAAGAGTTGAGTTGAATCAAGAATTGACATCACAGCACGGGGGGCATTCCCATGCATGCTCTGTCCTTATCTTCAGCAGCCAGCGCAGAGTTCCAATACTGATGGTACTGGTCACAATCTGGTTAAAAGTCCTTCTTGTCTTTCCTTTGAGTGTAGTGAGCCAGCCTCTGGTTACACCCAGGTGCCTTATTCTCTTCAGGCCATAATAATCTTCTATCTCTACTGATTCCGTTGCTTGCTCCCAAAGGGCCTTGACCACATCTGCCTTGTCATGTATCAGGATTTTTCATTTTCCAGGCATACAGAAGCTTAAACAAGCCATTCCCAATGCATTCAACAATGAAATCTATTTTTGTCTGATAAAGCATTATCACTGAGTGAGTTAGGATGCACACATGTGTGAACACTTGAGTACCTATCGTGTGAGTCAGGATGCACGCATGTGTGAACACTTGAGTACCTATCGTGTGAGTCAGGATGCATGCATGTGTGAACACTTGAGTACCTATCGTGTGAGTCAGGATGCATGCATGTGTGAACACTTGAGTACCTATCATGTGAGTCAGGATGCATGCATGTGTGAACACTTGAGTACCTATCGTGTGAGTCAGGATGCATGCATGTGTGAACACTTGAGTACCTATCTTGTGAGTCAGGATGCACGCATGTGTGAACACTTGGGTACCTATCATGTGAGTCAGGATGCACGCATGTGTGAACACTTGAGTACCTATCATGTGAGTCAGGATGCATGCATGTGTGAACACTTGAGTACCTATCATGTGAGTCAGGATGCATGCATGTGTGAACACTTGAGTACCTATCATGTGAGTCAGGATGCACGCATGTGTGAACACTTGAGTACCTATCGTGTGAGTCAGGATGCACGCATGTGTGAACACTTGAGTACCTATCGTGTGAGTCAGGATGCATGCATGTGTGAACACTTGAGTACCTATCGTGTGAGTCAGGATGCATGCATGTGTGAACACTTGAGTACCTATCATGTGAGTCAGGATGCACGCATGTGTGAACACTTGGGTACCTATCATGTGAGTCAGGATGCACGCATGTGTGAACACTTGAGTACCTATCATGTGAGTCAGGATGCATGCATGTGTGAACACTTGAGTACCTATCATGTGAGTCAGGATGCACGCATGTGTGAACACTTGAGTACCTATCATGTGAGTCAGGATGCACGCATGTGTGAACACTTGAGTACCTATCATGTGAGTCAGGATGCACGCATGTGTGAACACTTGAGTACCTATCATGTGAGTCAGGATGCATGCATGTGTGAACACTTGAGTACCTATCATGTGAGTCAGGATGCACGCATGTGTGAACACTTCAGTACCTATCATGCTAAAGTCTTTGCTACAGCCAGTCTCCAGTGTGCAGCTTTCTGTTGTAATAGCAAAGGTGTCACTCATCTCACTGAGTTTCCCCCCCTGAGCTCCACATGAATACCCATGCACTGTGCTCGCCTGAACCACTGACCCACCCAGTTAGCCACATTACCTATTTTTATGTTTCCATCAATCATGCTTTGACCAAAGTATTTATATCTGGATAATGTTCCCTGTAATTTTTAATGAGTGTGATGATGAACTCTACATAACTGGTACCCAGCAGGCAAAGACATCCATTCATTTCCAAGATTATGGTCAAGAGAAAATTGTATCCAAAAGACTTGTTTCTTCCCCTCTCTAGAGAAGGACAGTGTTCCGTATACAGACTCAGGTGTGGCAGTGTCCTGCAATGAAACTTTTTCCATGTTTGGTCTTTATTGCAATGGTCATATCCTGGCATTTACAAGCACCTTACACAGCCTTCTGTACAGATTTGAACCTTGCAAGGGATTTTCTCTCTTCCATCTCTCCCACTTTGTTTTAAACAGACTCCCTCACCCACTGGACCACAGACACATGGTGCTGTTGTAGAGTTTGTTCTGTCTTGTTTTTGGTCTACCTGATGCTCCCCATCCTTTCCGCTCACAAACACATTGATTTCAACTTAATCTTTTATTTCAAGACAAATGTGGATTTAATTAGTTTTCCGTAAACTGTTTCTTCCTTTAGTTCAAAGAAACAACAAATTCTACACACTGAAGAAAGAAAGGATTTAAATTATTAATCTGTCTCAGTTGTGTCTGCTAAAAGTGTTTATGTATCAACTGTAAACACTGTTTTTCTACTTACGTGTGTATACTACAGCCCTGTCCGCTTCATACACTTGTGTATGGTAATTATATCCTATACATGTTTAGCTTATCCGTATTAATGATGAGATATACACAAAGATACACACATGAACTTACCCATAAGATCAATAATGACTGAATTTCCCAGAAGTAATGAAAATCCGAGCAGAACCCATGGTAAAAATGGTGCCTGTGTCAAACAAACCATTTAGATCCATCAAGAGATGACTGATTACTAATAAACGCACAATTCCTATCATGTACATTGTGCAACACAGAAGCACTTAGCCCATTTTCAAATGGTTTTCTTGTTATATTTTAAAACTGTGCAGGAATCAAAGCTTACTTTCAAGTATCTCGTCAACTGTCACAAAGACGAGCAATGTCAGTAACTTATGGTAGATAATCTTCTTTGCATTCCCCGGCTGTAAACTCTGGCAGAAAGTTCTGGTTGTTTGTCCCTTCTGGACCTAAGTATTTTCCCCAGAACCGGTGTGTTGTGTGCACATCCATTTTACAGATCTGGCTTATTTGTTTGCAGACTGTTGGTTCACTGCCTCTCAGGCACATGCACCACAACTTCATATCAGAGCCTTGGAACCCAAACGGGGATGGTAGATAATAGACCAAATCTGGACCATCTAACTAAGTTATGAAAATCATCATTTTCAATAAAAGTAATTCACTTTCACTGCAGGTACATTTTAAACATAGCACTGAGAACCAATATAAGCCATCTAAATGTTTTGAAACAAGTCAACACACAAATAAAAATGGCTAGTAGCATGGTATTAACCATGTTATGTAAGTAGAATATAGTTGATTGTAGAATTTATGATAAAAAAAAAAAGAAGGCAGTTAGAGAGGGTATTGAACAGTCATGTAACATGGCACGGACAGATAGAATATCAGCTGATACACAGTTTTAGAGAACAAAGTAAATTAATACCCTCCTATCAAAATGTCGGCGTCTGTGACTTAGGCGTTATGAAGGCGCTTTGTAATGTCAGGGTTCGATCCCAGCTGCAGGCCTTGCGCTGGTTTTGACAGTGGTATCGGGAAGTAACCGTTCAGAAAGCAATGGCAAACTACTGGACATAAACTTGCCTAGGAAAATCACAACAGCCAAAAAAAGCTGGGGTTGGTTCTGCATCGTCCTGTAAAGGATACACAACTAACTGAACTGATATCAATAATACAAATATGATCTCACCTGAAAATTCATCAAACCAAAGAAATTCAGCCGTATGTAAGGATTTCGTCTGCTCCAAACATAAACCAACATAATAGTAAATGCACTGCCTAAGAACACAAGGTTCACAAACAGTGCCATAATCTGAATGTAGGTTAAGGGTGACGTTTATCAGAAACTGGTAGTTTAAAACTAAATACGTCTGTAAAACACAATGTAACCTAACCGACAAAGGATATTAGAAAGTGCACAATAAAAACAATTTCTGCTGCAAACATGGAGGATAAAATATGGCTAGTGTTAGTGACCAGACAATGGAATGTCCCCAATGTTTCTCACATAAAGGACGGCCAGGATTGTGGGGGAGGGGGGGGGGGGGGGGGGGGGGGGAGACAAACATGCACAATATTAATAATGTTTTGAAAACAAAAAGACCCTGAAGTTTTAACAGTAAAAGAAAACTCAAATAAAAGTTCTCCAATGTTAAACATTTGATAAAAATGTCCAATATTCAATGTTAAACATTCAATGAAAATGTCCAATAACCAACATCACGATTCCTGGTTGCCTGGAACAGCTCTCTTGATGATATCCCTCCATGCCATCGTTTCAGCCCATCCAGCATCATCTCTCTTGGTCTGCCTCTACCCCTCTTTCCACTGATGTTTTCAGTTTTTACGATGTTTTTCAATGCCTCTCTTCTCATTATGTGGCCAAAGATTAGCGTTTGTCTCCTTCTTACTGATACTGTTCTTTATAAGGGTCAGAGTTCCACCTTTTTTCCTCTGCCTTGTTGGTGTGATCAACAGAGATTCTGTAGACTGTCTTCACTGAGGAAGATGGCAAGACAGGGAAGGCAGATGACATGACAGGGAAGGCAGATAGCAAGACAGGGAAGGCAGATGACATGACAGGGAAGGCATATGGCATGACAGGGAAGGCAGATGGCATGACAGGGAAGGCAGATGGCATGACAGGGAAGGCAGATGGCAAGACAGGGAAGGCAGATGGCAAGACAGGGAAGGCAGATGGCAAGACAGGGAAGGCAGATGGCAAGACAGGGAAGGCAGATGGCAAGACAGGGAAGGCAGATGGCAAGACAGGGAAGGCAGATGGCAAGACAGGGAAGGCAGATGGCAAGACAGGGAAGGCAGATGGCATGACAGGGAAGGCAGATGGCATGACAGGGAAGGCAGATGGCATGACAGGGAAGGCAGATGACATGACAGGGAAGGCAGATGGCAAGACAGGGAAGGCAGATGGCATGACAGGGAAGGCAGATGGCATGACAGGGAAGGCAGATGGCATGACAGGGAAGGAAGATGGCATGACAGGGAAGGCAGATGACATGACAGGGAAGGCAGATAACACGACAGGGAAGGCAGATGGCATGACAGGGAAGGCAGATGGCATGACAGGGAAGGCAGATGGCATGACAGTGACAATATCTCTCCTCCAAACTTCTACCCCTGCATTATGGCGGCAACAAATATCCGTACGGGGCTCAGCTCTATTAAAAATATGCCGGCTCTGTATAACGAAACAAATGCTCTAACAGGGTCTCAGCGATATGTTACCTGCGGACCTGTTTCTGTGAGTATACCTCACCGCCGACCATATCCCCCGCGCCGCTACGCGCGGCACAGGTAGGGGCTAAACTAGATGGCTGGGACTCACGAGCAGCAGCTACAGCATCTCCTGCAACTTCCTCCAATTAATTTGCTCGTGAGTCCCAGGCACCTAGTTTAGTCCCCCATCCGCGCCGCGCATAGCAGCGCAGGAGGATACTGTCGGCGGTGAGTGTAACCACGTTTTGCGCATGCCAACATGTTTAAGGACAACAACGACGATAATCTGCATCGGCGCACGTGGAATCCCCGCCATGTGGCTCTTATCATCAGTAATGTTGCTTGTCTCGAAATTGTCCATGGTTGCTAGTATTGTTTGCAGAAACGCTCGAAAGTGTGAACGGTCGCTATTGTCGTCTGCAGTGTTGCGCCTCTTGAAATTGTCAGGTAATCCTAGTTTTGCCGCGATTTGTTCGTCGCCGGAAGTTTGCATATTTTTAATAGAACAGCCCCGTATGGATATTTGTTGCCGTCATAATGCGGGGGTAGAAGTTACATTTAATTTTGTTTTAAAATATAAGCCTAGCACCATATACAGGCATGCTAACAGAGTACTCTAGCTTGATTACTGACTGGACTTGTTTGCTTTTTGGTGTCCATAACTACAAGTATTTTGTAAAAAGCACATGAAGATGCAACAATTTATCTGGATGATATGCTGCAATTCACACACATTTACCCACAAAAGGATACAATCATGAAGAAGCCACCAAACAAAAACATGAAAAAAAAATCAGCAGTTCTGCCTCTGAATGATCCTTCCTCAAGCATCCGGCAGTAACGGTAGGCAAATATCATGTTGAACAAGAAGTTGAACCCAATGGGACCAAAATACAGGAAACTGGTGACTAGCCTCCATAACTAGAGCCATCACAAATATCAAATATGGATCAATATACACACACACACACATTTTGCAACAACAGTATACATACACACACATGTATATAAGTATGCATATATATTACATTTATATATAGTAATATTTCTCTGCATATCTTCAAGAAATTATTCACATTTCTCTGTCTATCTTAGATCACCCTCAAACTCGTTTTCATGTGGATTCAAAATCTACAGACTTTCTAGCTAAACTATTTTTTGTTTGTTTTTCAAAATATATGCAGCATCAGACTCTTGTTCCCACCCCTTGATTTTCTCACTGTTTTATCCTCTATCACATTACTTAAATCCCACCTCTTGATTTTCTCACTGTTTTATCCTCTATCACATTACTTAAATCCCACCCCTTGATTTTCTCACTGTTTTATCCTCTATCACATTACTTAAATCCCACCCCTTGAGTTTCTCACTGTTTTATCCTCTATCACATTACTTAAATCCCACCTCTTGATTTTCTCACTGTTTTATCCTCTATCACATTACTTAAATCCCACCCCTTGATTTTCTCACTGTTTTATCCTCTATCACATTACTTAAATCCCACCTCTTGATTTTCTCACTGTTTTATCCTCTATCACATTACTTAAATCCCACCCCTTGATTTTCTCACTGTTTTATCCTCTATCACATTACTTAAATCCCAGCTCTTGATTTTCTCACTGTTTTATCCTCTATCACATTACTTAAATCCCACCTCTTGATTTTCTCACTGTTTTATCCTCTATCACATTACTTAAATCCCACCCCTTGAGTTTCTCACAGTTTTATCCTCTATCACATTACTTAAATCCCACCCCTTGAGTTTCTCACTGTTTTATCCTCTATCACATTACTTAAATCCCACCCCTTGAGTTACTCACTGTTTAATCCTCTATCACAGTGAGTAAACAGGCAGGGTAATATTTAGCAACAGTTACAGGACCTGGTGCAGCGAGTAAACAGGCAGGGTAATATTTAGCAACAGTTACAGGACCTGGTGCAGCGAGTAAACAGGCATAGTAAACGGAAAAGTCTAGTTTTTAACATTTTTAACTAGAGATCTCACCCTTAAAGGGTTAGACAATGATAATGAAACAGAAAATATAGTAAACATGACATTTTGTGATACTATCATTACAGGCCTGTGTGAAATATTTGAATTCAATAGTATTCATGAACTCAGCCGAGACCATGCAGGGCTACACAAATCAATGATTCTGAGAAATGCAGAATACAATTTTATTTGTCCATATAAAATAACATGTTAAGATTTGCTGTATGAACTTGAAACATATAAATAACATGTTAAGATTTGCTGTATGAACTTGAAACATAAAATAACATGTTAAGATTTGCTGTATGAACTTGAAACATATAAAATAACATGTTAAGATTTGCTGTATGAACTTGAAACATATAAAATAACATGTTCAGATTTGCTGTACGAACTTGAAACATATAAAATAACATGTTAAGATTTGCTGTATGAACTTGAAACATAAAATAACATGTTAAGATTTGCTGTATGAACTTGAAACATATAAAATAACATGTTAAGATTTGCTGTATGAACTTGAAACATATAAAATAACATGTTAAGATTTGCTGTACGAACTTGAAACATATAAATAACATGTTAAGATTTGCTGTATGAACTTGAAACATATAAAATAACATTTTAAGATTTGCTGTACGAACTTAAAACATATAAAATAACATGTTAAGATTTGCTGTATGAACTTAAAACATAAAATAACATGTTAAGATTTGCTGTATGAACTTAAAACATAAAATAACATGTTCAGATTTGCTGTATGAACTTGAAACATAAAATAACATGTTCAGATTTGCTGTATGAACTATATGAAACAAATAAACCTCAAGAAGGAATAATTTATAACGTTCAAATTTGCTGTATGAACTTGAAACATAAAATAACATGTTCAGATTTGCTGTATGAACTGTATGAAACAAATAAACCTCAAGAAGGAATCATTTATAACATGTTCAGATGTGCTGTATGAAACAAATAAACCTCAAGAAGCAATCATTTATAACATAATCACTTTATAACAGGCTTTTTTTAAAATTTAAATTAGTTGCGAATCCTTTACAGGATGTTGCAGAAGCAACCCCAGCACTTTCTGGCTTTTGTGGTTTTTCTTGGCAAATTTACGTCGAGTAGTTTGCCATTGCTTTCTGGACGGTTGGCTCTCGATACTACAGTCGAAACCACTGCAAGACAAACCGTCGGCAGCAGGGATCGAACCCGCATCCCGGCATTACGAAGCCCATTCGCAACGCCTGAGCCACAGACATGGACTCATAACAGTCACAAGGATAACAAGTTATTATTGGCACAAGTGTAATAATACTAAACAATAACGAATGTTTACAAATAACACTGACAGCAGCAAAGGGGCAGCTACATACCTGATACTGTCTGAATATTAATTCTGGATTAAAATATATCTGGAACGGACTGACCAGATCCAGTTGCTGAAAACATAATTTGTGAAAAATATATTACAAACTGAACAGAATCTAAAATTAAACAGACAAGATCTTTCTAGAGCACATCACAGTGTAATTTCCTTACTAAATGGTGGCCACATGGCATTTTACTAAGACAGACAGACAGATGGATGGACAGACAGACGGATGGACAGACAGACAGACGGATGGACAGACAGATCAAAAGTATGTTCTTCAAATGTTTGAAGCTAATTACCAATTATTTATTGAGGCCTTCACATCTCTATCTTTGTGGCCCACTAGGTCATTCAGTTTAAAGATAATCATGCAGCCTGTGTTGCCTACAGATTCAAAGTGTCAGCTTGCCATTACCCCACCTTTACAGTTATGGGCTAAAGAAGACTGGAAGTAACATTCATGAAAGTGGAGAAAATACTGTAACATTTCAAGTTAGACAAAACACAATGAGTGTTTCTGGGTTAAGAAAGCACGTGGAAAGAAGAATCTCACTGCAATAAGAAATATTATTAAAACTCTTCTTTCTTCATTCTTTTGTCTTCCATGCCTCAAGAGAGCACAGGACACAAAGCAACTCTGTTGTCATCTGCAGCAGCTCACTTCATGCCTTCCCTATATTACTGTCTCTAATGCTCTTCTCCACACTGGATGGGAAAGTGGAGGGACAAGCAAGAGGTAGAGAGAGAGATTCAATTCACATGAGGAGACAGATCAACAACAGATGAGAGTGTACAACCAGTTTGAGAGACAAAGATCAGTGCAGATCCAAAGCAGGCAAACTTTCACTGTGAAACAACTAATATTCTGAACACAATAGAATACCGTGATCTGTTAGGTGATCATATGAACCACAGAAACTGTATATCTTTACATCTATACACACAGAGACACATATACTGTCCAGACTGTATTTACCAGCTTTTAGGGCTGTGTAGACAGGAGGGTGATAGGCTGAGGATTTAGGGCTGTGTAGACAAGGGGGGGGGGGGGGGGATAGGCTGAGGATTTAGGGCTGTGTAGACAAGGGGGGGGGGGGTGATAGGCTGAGGATTTAGGGCTGTGTAGACAAGGGGGGGGGGTGATAGGCTGAGGATTTAGGGCTGTGTAGACGGGGGGGGGGGGGGGGGTTGATAGGCTGAGGATTTAGGGCTGTGTAGACAAGGAAGGGGGGGTGATAGGCTGAGGATTTAGGGCTGTGTAGACAAGGGGGGGGGGTGATAGGCTGAGGATTTAGGGCTGTGTAGACAAGGGGGGGGGGGGTGATAGGCTGAGGATTTAGGGCTGTGTAGACAAGGAAGGGGGGGGGTGATAGGCTGAGGATTTAGGGCTGTGTAGACAAGGGGGGGGGTGATAGGCTGAGGATTTAGGGCTGTGTAGACAAGGGGGGGGGGTGATAGGCTGAGGATTTAGGGCTGTGTAGACAAGGGGGGGGGGGGGTGATAGGCTGAGGATTTAGGGCTGTGTAGACAAGGAAAGGGGGGGGGGTGATAGGCTGAGGATTTAGGGCTGTGTAGACAAGGGGGGGGGGTGATAGGCTGAGGATTTAGGGCTGTGTAGACAAGGGGGGGGGGGGGTGATAGGCTGAGGATTTAGGGCTGTGTAGACAAGGGGGGGGGGGTGATAGGCTGAGGATTTAGGGCTGTGTAGACAAGGGGGGGGGGGGGTGATAGGCTGAGGATTTAGGGCTGTGTAGACAAGGGGGGGGGGGGTGATAGGCTGAGGATTTAGGGCTGTGTAGACAAGGAAGGGGGGGGGGGTGATAGGCTGAGGATTTAGGGCTGTGTAGACAAGGGGGGGGGGGGGTGATAGGCTGAGGATTTAGGGCTGTGTAGACAAGGGGGGGGGGGGTGATCGGCTGAGGATTTAGGGCTGTGTAGACAAGGGGGGGGGGGGTGATAGGCTAGAGGATTTAGGGCTGTGTAGACAAGGGGGGGGGGGGGGGTGATAGGCTGAGGATTTAGGGCTGTGTAGACAAGGGGGGGGGGGTGATAGGCTGAGGATTTAGGGCTGTGTAGACAAGGGGGGGGGGTGATAGGCTGAGGATTTAGGGCTGTGTAGACAAGGAGGGGGGGTGATAGGCTGAGGATTTAGGGCTGTGTAGACAAGGGGGGGGGTGATAGGCTGAGGATTTAGGGCTGTGTAGACAAGGGGGGGGGGTGATAGGCTGAGGATTTAGGGCTGTGTAGACAAGGGGGGGGGGGGTGATAGGCTGAGGATTTAGGGCTGTGTAGACAGGGGGGGGGGGTGATAGGCTAAGGATTTAGGGCTGTGTAGACAAGGGGGGGGGGGTGATAGGCTGAGGATTTAGGGCTGTGTAGACAGGGGGGGGGGGGTGATAGGCTGAGGATTCAGGGCTGTGTAGACAAAAGGGGGGGGGGGGCGACGATAGGATGAGGATTTCGGGCTGTGTAAAAGGGGGGGGGGGTGCGTGCGCGATAGGCTGAGGATTTAGGGCTGTGTAGACGGGGGGGGGGGGGGGGGAGGGGGGGGGGGGTTGATAGGCTGAGGATTTAGGGCTGTGTAGACATGTTTTTGATAAAACAGATAAGGTGATTCCCCTTCAATTATTACCGATTACATGTTTTGGGGATTTTCACAATTATTCTGGGACTGTTTCCTCTTCCCATATTTTGTTTAAAAGTCTTAGCACTTGTTGGTTGGTTGTCTCATCTCCTCCTTTGAGCATTTGTGCTGTAATATTGTCAGCATCCGCTGTCATGTCATTTGCTAGGGAATGTATTGCCCTTTTGATTTCAGCAGTCAATGCCTCCACCTCCATTATCAGAAATTGTGATATCATATGCGAGGCTTTGTTGCACCAATCTGCGTCCATTTGATTTTACTATAAAACCTCATGCACTTCGTCTGCCCTTTAACACAGAGCCATCTGTATAGATAATCACATCACTTGGGTTGGAATTGTCATGAATCATTTGTTGAACTTCTGATTCTACAGCACCAGCTAGCAAGTCCGCACACTCATGACCTAAAGTAATAAGAACCCTACACAGGTCTGAAACTTGCTTGGATACTTTGACCCAATCCTCACCTAGCACAGACTTATCAAACCTGCACACGTCTGATTGTATCTTCAGCTTGCACCATTTAAGACCTTCTTCTTTTCAGTTCCTGACCCTTAGCTCTACCCAGGGCTTCATGCAGGAGGTGCTTCTTGTCTGCAGCTTCTTTGAGATATGATATAGCCTGCAGAACTTTGAGCCTATCTGCAATAATAGGCAGTGCAAGCATTTATTGCATACATACTTCCAGGGTATCTCTTGTACATCCCAGAATTACCGGCATGGCTCTTAACATGCTCTGTGAGTCAGTGATAATCACAGCATGTGTGTACAGCTAATTCAAGCCAGGGAATGCAACAGTCAATCCCTCCACCTCCATTCTCAGAAATTGTGATATCATATGCGATGCTTTGAATGCATTCAAGTTTCATCAGCTGACTTTCCAAGTCCATAATCTATCACCGACAGGATTACATGCTGGAACATTGTGAACAGCATTCTGTTTCATGCTGCCATAATCTTGAGAGCAATGAATCCTTAATCTTCTCTACCACTTTGCCAAAAGTATTCTGTAAGGTGATAATCCTGAAGCCGCTGAGTCTGGAATGATCTTTGCCTGGTTCTGGAAGTGGGATCAGGTAACTGTGTACCCAATCCTGGGGTACAGAAGCTGTTCTGATGCTTTGGTAGCATCACCCAATCCTGGGGTACAGAAGCTGTTCTGATGCTTTGGTAGCATCATCCAATCCTGGGGTACAGAAGCTGTTCTGATGCTTTGGTAGCATCACCAAATCCTGGGGTACAGAAGCTGTTCTGATGCTTTGGTAGCATCACCCAATCCTGGGGTACAGAAGCTGTTCTGATGCTTTGGTAGCATCACCTAATCCTGGGGTACAGAAGCTGTTCTGATGCTTTGGTAGCATCATCCAATCCTGGGGTACAGAAGCTGTTCTGATGCTTTGGTAGCATCACCCAATCCTGGGGTACAGAAGCTGTTCTGATGCTTTGGTAGGATTACCCAATCCTGGGGTACAGAAGCTGTTCTGATGCTTTGGTAGCATCACAAAATCCTGGGGTACAGAAGCTGTTCTGATGCTTTGGTAGCATCAATCTCCCTCAAAACTTGATGTGGGCATACATGACTCTGTCTGGCCCTGTCAGCGCCTTTTGCTTTTTGCAGTTTCCAAAACCTACCTAGTGATTTATCCCCTTGAATTTCGCTCACAAAATGAGTCTGGAATATACAAATGTTTTCTAATCTCAGATATGCAGACCCGTCTCATTATTTATATTTAATCTGGGTAAACCTTATGAAGATCTCGCTAGGTCAGTTAGCCGCGCCTATCTACACATTAGGTCACTTTTGATTGGTACTTGCTTAGGCTTGTCAACCTTGCTAAAGGTTACGGAGGTGTCTCGATGTACTGTTTGCTCGAAAAGCTTTCTGTGCGGTCTTCCATTTACGTTTTAATTCTGAAAAAGAGAATGCATGTAACCTAGGTTGCAGCATTCTTGTGTGTGTGTGGAGGGGTGGGGGTTATGTTAGGGCCAGTCCTGCATGGTTTTGAAGCTTAAAGTGCAGACATATACAACACCATTGAAATCACCTGTGGTATATTCCTATTTTTTCGAGCACGTCAGTGCTTCTGACACTCCAAAACCATGACCGACTGGCCCTAACTCACCCCACGCCGACGAGAATGCTACAACTAGTTCACATGCATTCTCTGTCTCAGAATGAAAACGTTAATGGAAGATACAACATAAGTATTTCAAGCAACCAGTACATCAGGACACCCCCAAAACCTTCCAGCAAAGTTGACCAGGATATGTTCAATTAGGAATCGACATCACAGCACTCGGGACACCTCCATAAGCTCTTTGTCCCCGTCTACAGCAGCAAGTAATGAGTTAACATTCTGATGGTATATCCGTCTCCATTCTTTTGTGAGTGTTGAGCCAGATGCCCTTGTAACTCCTCTCAGTGCCATTTGTTCTCCTGAGACCGTAATGATCTATCTGTGGCTCGGCGGCACTGTCCACAACATCCAGCTTGTCATTCATCACCAAGTGGTGCAGAAGTTTACGAGCCTAACGAACTATAAACAAAAAGTTACCTAGTGCGTAAATGGGCAGAGCTGACTGACTTGGGGAGATGTTTACCTCAATCTGAAATTGAGAAATGAAATGCAGAAACAAAATATCTCCAGTACAGTACTGACCACTGCTAATGTAGTTAAAACGCAGGCTGTCGTATATGCCCTTGTTATCGGAGGCATTTGCATGTACTCCTGCTGAAATGTCTGCGCTGCCATTTGTTCAGATTGTAGTCACTACCTGACGATTGTAAGAAAGAAGTTTAGGTTTCACCAACAACATCAAGTGGATGTTAGCAAACGTTGAGAGAGACACGTGTAGCACGCATGCGTGAACAGCCGGAACATAAACATGTGTATCTGCGCTTGTCATTTGAATCTCCTAAACAAGAGATCGACTGCAAGAGGTGCAACCTGGAGACAGCGCTGCCAATCAGGGTTACCAATAATGGGGGTTTCCCCCAGATCTAGGTTTTTGACGCCTTGGGGGAATCGATTAAAAAAAATATATATCCTTATATAAAAGTGATAAATGTTTCTTTTTGTAACTATAAATTTTGTACATTTTAACAGTCTGCGTTTTTAATTTGTTCTTTGCTTATATATTGCTTGGGTTTTTGTTCAGCTTAGCTGGGATTTTCAACAACAAAAAATCCCATTAACAATGATCTGTTCAGCGGGCCTCCACCCTACCCATCGCATTCTCCTGTAGGCCCATGGTGCTGACGTCATCAGACTGACCCTAGGCTAACAATAGCGTACGTCCCGTCCTGCCCCCCCCCCCCTCTTCGCTTGGTGAGTTCCCAGCCGTCCCCTGAGTATTTCCCAACTAAAATTCTCAGAAGAAGCTTTAGAATAGAACATGTATATAGGTATAACCACATATACAATCTAAAAGGGAACAATAGAGAAACACATTTTAATAATAATTAATTAGTATATAGTTGATAGGTTTATATAATTTCATCTTCTTAAAATGTATTAGTTCCTTAATGAAAAGTAATAAATTCTAGAATTTTGTTACGTGGTGGTAGGGTGGGCCTTACTTGCTAAGAATGACCAATTTTCAGCTCCAAATAGACAGAATAACCTAGAAAGTACAACATAAACTGCTGATATTTTACTGGAGATTACCCACAAAAATCCACTAAAAATAATGAGCGACCTTAGTCAGCTACTTAAGACACCTTGGTCATCCACTGCATCTAGGTCATCCACTGCACCTATGTCATCCACTGCACCTAGGCCATCCACTGCACCTTGGTCATCCACTGCACCTTTGTCATCCACTGCCCTTGGTCATCCACTATACCTTGGTCATCCACTGCACCTTGGTCATCCACTGCACCTAGGTCATCCACTGCACCTAGGTCATCCACTGCACCTAGGCCATCCACTGCACCTTGGTCATCCACTGCACCTTTGCCATCCACTGCCCTTGGTCATCCACTATACCTTGGTCATCCACTGCACCTTGGTCATCCACTGCACCTAGGTCATCCACTGCACCTTGGTCATCCACTGCACTTAAGTCATCCACTGCACCTAGGTAATCCACTGCACCTTGGTCATCCTTTGCACTTAGGTCATCTACTGCACCTTGGTCATCCACTGCACCTAGGTCATCCACTGCACCTTGGTCATCCACTGCACCTTGGTTATCCACTGCACTTAAGTCATCCACTGCACCTCGGTCATCCACTGCACCTTGGTCATCCACTGCACTTAGGTCATCTACTGCACATTGGTCATTCACCGCACCTTGGTCATCCACTGCACTAAGGCAATCCACTGCACCTTGGTCATCCACTTCCCTTGGTCATCCACTGCACTTAGGTCATCCACTGCACCTAGGTCATCCACTGCACCTTGGTCATCCACTGCACCTTAGTCATAAACTGTACTTAGGTCATTTACGGCACCTTGGTCATCCACTGCACCTTGGTCATCCACTGCACTTAGGTCATCCACTGCACCTTGGTCATCCACTGCACTTAGGTCATCCACTGCACCTTGGTCATCCACGGCACCTTGGTCATCCACTGCACCTTGGTCATCCACTGCACCTTGGTCATCCACGGCACCTTGGTCATCCAGTGCACCGTGGTCATCCACTGCACCTTGGTCATCCATTGCACCTTGGTCATCCACTGCACTTTGGTCATCCACTACACTTAGGTCATCCACTGCACCTTGGTCATCCACTGCACTTTGGTCATCTACTGCACCTTGGTCATCCACTGCACTTTGGTCATCCACTGCACCTTGGTCATCCACTGCACCTTGGTCATCCACTGCACTTTGGTCATCTACTGCACCTTGGTCATCCACGGCACTTTGGTCATCCACTGCACCTTGGTCATCCACTGCACCTTGGTCATCCATTGCACTTTGGTCATCCACTATATCCAGCTATCACAGGCATGATATGAAACATTTCTATGGTGCTTTCAAAACAGTAAATGCACCTAGGTCACCATCATCCTGTCCCCTTCTCAGCAAAGATGGAAGTACACTACTCTCTGATCACAGATGGAAGTACACTACTCTGTGATCACAGATGGAAGTACACTACTCACTCAGCAAAGATGGAAGTACACTACTCACTGATCACAGATGGAAGTACACTACTCTGATCACAGATGGAAGTACACTACTCTCTGATCACAGATGGAAG